CATTCCATTTGAAATTCGCCAAAAGAGGAAAAGCTATAAGGACTTAATTTCTTTTCTTCAAACCTATGGAATTTCGTACAAGTGGGCGATCCCAGAGGGTGTCATCTTTAAAAACAACGACAAAAGAGAAAAGATTGACTCCATTTTTAAAGCCAAAGAATTTCTGAGACGTCAGTTGGGACCGGAGGAAGAATCCAAAGAGGAAGAATCAAAATCAAGTGACTCCGCTACCTCTGGAACGGATGAGGACTCTGCTGTAGAAACGGGTGCAGGCACAATGAAAGTTAGATATTATTTCAGAGACAGAAAACTGAAGTAAAGGCAGAAGGACTCTGAAAATTGCCTTTTGAAACAAATAACAAGAAGATGCTCAGAAAGTTCTCTCACAACAACTAACATACTAACATGGAAGCCGAGACAAACAAGAACTCTACAAGTATATTGTTGTACTAATACTTTTATTAACAACACTTAGATTAACACGGATATGATCTCCTCCTCTTGGGTTTTTAGTATAGTGTGGCTATCTATCCTTTATCCTTAGATGTAGTCCTCTTCCCTTATATTTTCTTTGTAGTTTTGTAGTCTTATATAAAAATAATAAAAAATATCCCTCCGGGGATTTAATAAAAAAATTATATGTAGATTTAAACTGAATCTTGCATGCTTTTGAAACAACTTTCTCCCACCATGTTTTTCCATTTTTGCAGGTCTACTGCCAGCCATGGAATTTGAGAAGAAAGAGGCCTTCATTGTGAGTCAAGAGATCCATGCAGGCAGAAAGAAGATCCCTTTGGGGTCTATTGGGTGCTTCATCAAGGGAAAACACAGCATGGGCCGCATTGTTGACCAGAAATCTAGGCCTGTCGTAGCCCTGACAAGCAGCCACATAAAACCACTAAGCCACCATCAGGCTGCCCTCCTGCTTTCCATTGACAGCCCGAAAAAGAGGTACAGCCTGTTTTGCAGTGAGCAGCACTTCACCTCCATTTGCTTCCTGAAAATCCATGATGTGGTACAACTGAGGTGTGGTCGGGTGCTGACAGCTGGCATTGTGAGAGGCTTCTGGGAACGGCTCAGGAATCCTGGCCATGGAGAGCTGAAGATGGTTCTCATTGAGGTGGAACTGCTGGTGAGGGCATGGTAATACTTGGTTCAGGGTGTTCTTGGTGACATTCTGGGCCTTCTGGTGACTGGAAGCTTCTGGTAGAGTGACTTGACTCTCCCCATTCCTCTCCACAGCTCTTAATCTCTGGGTCTTCTGCTACTTCCTGTTTTATGCACCTGTGTATCCCTCATCCTTCACAGCACACATGTATTCTAAAATATTTACTAGATTCTGCAAAGGGCATTGCTCATAAAATACAACATTGCTGTAGTTACAAGTCCACAACAAAGTACAGATTTTTGCTTGACACAGGTGCTTCACTTTTAACCTTGGTCATTCTCTCTGTTTCTCACTGCATCAGGATCCCAGGATTATTGCTCCCAGTAACAGGTTCTCTAGACTGAAGGTTGATGCAAGTAAGATCGTCATGGTTAGCCCCAGTACTGCCATTTCTCCCAGCTTCAAAGAAATTGAACAAAGATCTCATACGAATGGTAAGAGCCACCAGAGGGCTTGACTACTTGACTGGCTAACATTTCAGTTTTGTTTGCACCTTGTGACCTGCCATAGGAGTCTATAGGCCTACTATAAGCTATACGATTTTCCTGATTTAAAAGGATTGCCTTTTATTCCAGAACCTGACATTTTTTTCATAATCATCTTAGTGAGAAAAACTTGTGCCCTGCTTCTCTGCCTTGGAGTTCTCAGTTATTAGTAGGGACGGGTATGCACTCAAACCCAACCATAGCCTTGATATGAGGATAAAAATGGCTTGGCTCCTAAGCAGTGCGCCCTCTAAGCTGACTTAGTCTGAGCTAGCTCACAGTTTTTTAGCCTCCAGCTCACACATTTTTGCCTTCGCTCAGGAAGGAGGGCTCCAGAGCAAACTGATTATTTGCAGCAGCCAAATTGCTCGCTCACAACTTTAGTGCCAGTAGCTCACAAGGTAGAATTTTTGCTCACAAGACTCCACGGCTTAGCTAAGGTAAATTTTTACTGGCTGAAATGATTTCTTGTCAGTGGAACAGGACTTCCTCACTTCCCACCAGGACCCCCACCAGGACCCCCAGGAATAGCATGCAGGAGGAGTTCCCCCCACCCCCAATGCTGCTCCTGGAGGACAAGGGACCCCCAGGAATAGCATGCAGGAGGAGTCAGAGGTCTGTAGCAGGAGGCGGGAATGGGGCGAGGGGATTGCTTCCCCTTCCATTAGGGAAAATTCTCCTTAGGATCTAGCCTGAGCTCACAGGAACATATTTCCTCCACTCCTTTAACAGACTTTCTGTTAGGTATCCATTCACATCTGGTTCCTTCTTTGGATGGCAAAGGCTGAGGCACATTGTGAAAAGGGGGATGTTAAGGGCCACATCTGGTTGCTAGAATGTGCTGGTTCAGGAGTTGCCTCTTGTCTCTACCACAGCCTGGCCTCTTTCAGCCTCAGCACCAGACTATGCCACATGGAGGAAATAGGGTGCCCCCTGAATGCATCCTGATATTTTTGTCATGTCCTTTAGATCGAAAACATCCTGGGGAAAGAGGCTAAAGGTAAAAACACAGCTTGTCAAACCAACAGAAATGGACAACAGTACATTTCATGAGGAGACTGGAGAAGAAGGATGTGCTGTGAAGTCGCAACTGACTCATGGTGACCCCAACCAGGGGGCGTTGAAGGCAAGAGACAAGCAGAGATGGTTTGCCATTGCCTTCTTCTGCACAGTAACCCCCCCCCCGGTCTTACTTGATGGTACCCCGCTTAGCTCAGCTGACGAACTCAGGCTCAGCTGGGCTACAGCTCCATAAAACCTAGTGGAATGTATTCCAAAGCTCCTGTTTTCTGAAATCTTCATTTGATAACCATTTTTAAAAATGAGATATACTTGTTTGGTTGGGCTCCAGTCCAGTGAAGTGGTCACTTTAAGTGACTAGTTATTCTAATAAAGTTGGATTGATCCTTCTTTCTAATGAGGCTGTAGGTTAATCAAGTACATACTGTTTTTCTAGAGGACAGATATCTAATCCAGAATTGGGCAGACAATAACAGTGAGGCAGCTTGGGAACATGAGACTTTGCTGAAGGCGGAAGGTGCCATGAAGGGAATCCAGGGACACTGCAATTCCTGCTACCTGGACACAACCCTTTTCAGGTTTGCTGTGTGCTAACTCCGGGTTTGATTCCCTGCTCCTCCACTTGCAGCTGCTGGATGACCTTGGACAAACCATAGAGCTGTTCTCTCAAGGACAGTTCTGGAAAGAGCTCTCTCAGCCCCACCTACCTCACAGGGTGTCTGTTGTGGAGAGGGGAAGGGAAAGGAGTTTGTAAGCCTCTAAGTGAACAGCAGGATATAAATCCAATTTCTTCTTCTTCTTCTTCAGCCCAATTCTGTGGGTTGTGTGTTTCCTCTCCGCATTGTCTCTGACTTGGACTCAATCCTGCTCTGTTCAAAGCCAGTGTCTTCCCTTCCCTTCCCTTTACTTTGCTATGTCTGCTGCATCTTCCAAAGCAATGCTTTGGCCATTTTAGAGTGTTCATTTTCCTCATCCCCTGTAAAATGGCTAAGTGGATGGAGTTACAGTTGTATGTTGTGCTCTGGGGTTGCTACTGCCTCAGAGCGAGCACAGTGAAGTCAGTGCATGGGTTGGGGCTAGATAATAGGTTGTAGCCACCGTGTTGTGATTTGTTGTGATTAAATCTGTTTTATATTTGTGTACATATTCTGGGTGTGTTTCTTTGCAGTTTATTCAGTTTCTCCTCTGTGTTGGATAGCGTTCTCCATTCTGCTGAGGTGCACGATACAACAGCACAGCAAATACTGAGACAGCAGATTGTGGAACCGTTGAGACAGTGAGTTCCACCACATTTCTCAAGTGTCTGTACTGCACTGATGAATTGGATTCTTCAAGCTGTTGAGTCTTCAGTATTTGACTACTGTGTATTAATTACTGTATAGACATAGCTATTGAATATCAGTAGAGGTGCCTTTAATTTTGAGAAAATAAGGTGAAAATTACACAGTGCCATTTTACAAAAGTTATTTCCCCAATTTTGATGCTCTACATGGAATATCTGTGCACAAGGAGCAACGAAATCAACAAAATAACTCCCCCAGAGTGGTTTTTTTGTGTGGAAAATGGCTAGTGGGGGCAGGAGCCCTCCCATGGAGCCATTTCAAGCCTGTTTGGGCTCTCCTTTTAAAAAACACACTGTTCCCTGCAGCTGCTGTGTAGCTGTGGGTAATATGAGTTGGGTCCAGGGAACCCAGACCCAACTCTTTAAAACAGTAATGTTTAGTTTGGCCCCGAGTCTGTTTAAACCCAGACCAACTACTGTTCCAGGTCAGTGAACAGAAGAAATGATGAGTCCTGAATATCCTGGAACTGGGAAGCTGAAGCAGAAAGGTCTTGCTGTGTCAGGCTCAGAAAATATGGCCCAACCTCTTGAAATGCTATGTTTTGAGCACATTGGCTTGGATCTAAGGAAGTATGAGAGGAACTCAGCAAGACTTCTCTGCTGCAATCCAGTGTACCTCCCACCCCCAAATGCTGCTTGGGGACCCTGTAGGACCAGCACTGGGCACAACATGGGAGTCTGCAGTAGGAGGAGGAAGGCAGCAAAAATGCCTCCCTCCTGCCAAGTGGAAGTGCCCTTATGAGGGTAGAAAATCAAGGCTTGGATCCAAGCCATTATTCTTCATTGGAGCAGTTAATTCTGCCTAAACATAATGCCATTAAAAGATATCATCTTTTGCTTTGTATAAAATATACACAGAACAAGAAATGTTTCCAGTGGGCAGTGAAAATTAATATACAGGAAGGATGAAAGCATCAAACAGAATGCCCACCTGTTTACTTATTGTAATGATTATGACAGTTTCCCAAATTGCTAATCTATGCTTATGGGCTGAGCCTGAGACCAACACTAATCCACTTGAAATATCCTGTGCTGTGAGATACTGTTGTGTTTCATAGATTAATGGAAAGTTGGTCCCCTTCCTTGACCGCAATGACCTGGCCACAGTGATCCGTGTGATGGTCACCTCAGGGCTAGACTACTGTAACACTCTCTACATGGGGCTGCCTTTGTCGCAAATCCGGAAGCTGCAGCTAGTGCAGAATGCTGCAGCCAGGCTGCTGATGGGTCTCACTAGACGGGACCATATCAGGCCTGTCCTGAAAGCGCTGCACTGGCTGCCAATAGCGTATCGGGTTCGCTTCAAAGTGCTAGTTCTTACCTTTAAAGCCCTATATGACCAGGGTCCAGCATACCTGAGGGACTGCCTTTCCCCATATGTTCCCCCAAGGGCACTATGGTCGGGGACTCAACATCGACTGGTATCCCCAGGTCCCAAAGATATTAAATTTGCTGTTAACAGGGCCAGGGCATTTTCGGTGGCGGCTTTGGAGGAGATCCGGGCCCTGCGGGACCTGGCGCAGTTCCGCAGGGCCTGCAAGACGGAGCTCTTCCGCCAGGCTTTTGAGTAGGAGCTGCCACCATCACTATACCATCACCGTACCACCACCACTAAATGGAGTAGGTGTCATCGGAGAACGAGATGGCCCTGGGAGGAAGGACAGATCGCTGTACCACCTGGAGTCTACCGTGTCGCTCTGGGACCACTTTGTCATGTGTGACCCCATCAGTTATTTGTAACATCTAGAGCACTTGTATTTTTTATTTGAATGATTGTTTTATTGCTTGTTTTATCCTGTTTTTACCTGTTTAATCTTGGCATATGTGTTTGAAATCAGTGGAGTTAATTGACTAAAAAGTGTTAATCAGTCAAATCTTCCAAAGGATTGTTTTGTAGTGAAGTCGCGTATGTCATTGTGTTGTATAAAGTTAATGGATCTCATGGTATTTGCAAGCATAATTTTCCAGTTTGTTCTGGGTAGAAATCAGACTTTTATCATGCAGTTCTCTAGGCATTCATTTTCCATAGCAGATTCTAAAGATTGCCTAGTTTCATTGAATAAGTTGACCTATCAGCAAGACTTGGGCTAATGTTCAATGGTTACCTTTTGGACTGATTCTTTTTGTCCATGTTCCCAAAGTAATAGGGAACTCAAGGCAGCAGCCAGCCTTCATTCTTCCCTCCTCCATTTTATCCTCACAACAGCAACCCTGTGAAGTATGTTAAGCTGAAGGAGAGTATCTGCCCCAAGATCACTCAGCAGGCTTCGTGGCAGAGCAGGGATTTGAACCTCGGTCTCCCAGATGCTAGTCTGATCGCCCAACCACAGTGCCATACTAGCTGTAACCAAAAATTAGAAGACCATTGGCTTAGAAAACAGCCAGGGAACAGAATCTCCCTTATAAATAAAAGCTGAATGGTGGTGGCACTTCTCTAGAACATTCCACACGCTCCGGAATTGGTTGGCGCCCTGGTGTGTCACTCAGAATCTGTCCTTATCCACTGGCTGCATTGCTTGAGTCTCGCCTCCAACATTCTAAATAGTTTGGTGTTCATCTCCCCCCCATAGCCAGTCAGAACACAGAGGTTATTTGCATATGCAGCCTCATTGGCCTTTGCCTCGGAACACAGAGGTGGTTTGCATATGTGACTTGATTGGCTTTTGCCTCTAACATTCTAAACAGTTTGCTCTTCTGAGGTAAAATGTGTCCAGTCTCCAGGTGAGGGCTGGAGATCACTCAGAATTACAACTGCTTTCCTGATGGCAGAGATCAGTTCCCCTGGAGAAAATGGTGGGCTCTCTATCCTTATATGCTGCTGAGGTGGCCCCCATAGGACAGCCAATGTGACGTAGCAGTCAGGGCTTCAGAGCACGGGAGAGGCTGCAGGTGTGTGGGGGCTGGAAAGCTGAAGAGTGAGGGGGAAATAAAGGTAGGTTGATGATTGGCTGGGAAGGAGACAGGGTTGCCAACTCCAGGTGGGAAATTCCTGGAGAGGTGAGGGATGGAGCCTGGAGAGGGTGAAGTTTCAGGAGGCGTGGGACCTCGGACAGGTACAAAGTCATAGACTCCACCCTTCAAACCAACTATTCCCTTCTGGGGAACCATTGTTGCCAATCTCCAGGTGAGGGCTGGAGATAACTCAAAATGACAACTGTTCTTTAGGTAGCAGAGATCAGTTCCTCTGGAGAAAATGGTGGACTCAGTGTCATTATACCCTGCTGAGGTCACCACAGCAAATTGACACTAAGTGTCCAAGGCCGGGGCACCCGCCCAGAGCCTCTTTCTAGACGTTGTTGTATTTATTTCCACAACGGGCCTTTTTCCTAGTATTATAATAATAGTAATTGTGTGCTGGAAATTTACAACTGACTTATGGTGATCCGAAGCCATGGGGTTTTTCCAGCAAGAGATGAGCTGAAGTGGTTCACCATTGTTTTCCTCTGCATAGCAACCTTGGACTTCCTTGGTGTTCTCCCATCCGAGAACTAACCATGGCCAACCCTGCTTAGCTTCCAAACTCTGATGAGATCAGCCTATTCAGGGCTATTCAGGCTGCTACAGAATATTATAGCAGTTCCCAAAGACTGGTTTTTTTGCTGTGTAGGTCTTTTCTCTTTCTCTGGCTCAATACCAAATTGCCTCTCTCCCCATCTACCCACCAGTACACTGCTCTCAGCCCGCACCCTTCCAGGTAGCTGTCATCCTCCACTCCTAGGTGACCTGCCCTGCCTATTAATAGCATGCATTACTAAGCACTCGTAATGTCATAACTATATCAATCCTTGCCAGGTATGGCTATGTGGGAGCTGAGAACGTGATGGTCTTAAGGAAATTGCTGCAATCTGACAGTTTCATTACAGAAGAGAAAGGTGAGTGACAAGAGCATAAACTTTTTACTGCACAAAGTGACCTTGCTACACTGCACTCCTCTCCCTAAAAGTGCATAATATTGTTACACCCTCCCACTTCCCTGGCCAGTGAGAAAGTCCAAAGGCAGTGCTTACCTGGGTGGATTCCTTTTGGAGTTGAGGAGTCCTTTAGCCTTTTTGTACCATTTGTTTTAATTGCAGATATATTAGTGGAACACAGGTAGAATCACTCCTTCTGTGTGGTATGGTCACATCTTTCAAGCCCTGATGGGTGCTTGGACAGAGCTGTTTCCTAACCATTAAGGTTTACTGAAGTACTATCACTAAGAAACATTGCCATTCCTTTTGTCATAGGCTCTGGTTTTCCCCAGCATGCTACTTTCAGTCAAGCCCATAGGACAGAGTAACCCACAATAACCAGAATCCAGGTTCACTGCAATACCCATAACAGAAAATTGGTCTGAGTGCCATATTTCTAGGGTTGCCAGCTCTGGGATGGCAAATACTTGGAGGTTTTGGGGGTGGAGCCTGCAGAGGGTAGGATTTGGTAGGGGAGGGACCTCAGTGAGGTATAATGCCATAGAATCCACCATCTAGGCTTCCCAAGTCCCCCTGGGGGGCGGGAAAACCCCTGCCGCAGAGGCCTGTTCCCTGCCGGCAGCGGATCGGGCCCCAGGGGGAACCCCACCCCGATGTGCGCGTCACCCGGAAGTGACGTGACGACACCATGCACGCTGGGGGCGGGGCCATGGCCATCCGAGGGAAAACTATGGTTTTCCCTCGGATGGCTGTGGCCCCGCCACCAGCGTGCCCGGCGTCATCACATCACTTCCGGGTGACGTGCGTGCGGCGTGCGCTCCAGCTGCGGGGCGGGAGTCCCCCGCTACGAAGAAATTTCAACTTGGCAACCCTACCACCATCCGAACCATTTTCTCCAAGGGAACGGATCTTGGTTGTCTGGAAATCAATTGTAATTGCAAGAGATCTGCAGGTCTCACCTGGAGGTTGGCAACCCTACAATATTTCAGCATATTGCTTTAATAAATGCCTTGTGATTTCATTGTTCAAAGCTCTTCTCATATATTAGCTGCAGTATCCTTGTCCTGTAAGGTAGGCCAGTGTTGTCAGTGGAGTTGAATGTGAATGGCTTGCATATGGCCACCTAACCTAGTGAGCTTGTGGCAAAGATGAGATCTGAACCAGGACCTCCAGTCACAGGTCATTCTTAGCCACTATGCTGCACTGGCTTCAGGCTTTGCTACTCTAACAACTGATCTGATTTACAGATCCAGAGGAATTCCTGAATGTCCTTCTAGGAGAGGTCCTGGCTATAAAGCCCTTGCTCAAAATCAAGTAAGAATTTGATGGGTTGATTGTTTTATTTTATCCATTTGAGTGCCACTCTTGGCCACGCGTGCTGCGTCTGACTTCATGGCTTAGGCTGAAAACTCTTGCAATTAAAAAAATAATAATTCCAGTGCCTAGGCAGAGCTTAAGGGTGGAGCCCAGCAGTTTTTGGACAAGTCAGGAGGGAGGAGGCATGAGCCCAGCGCACAAAGCTGCCCATTTACCTTAAAGTTCATCTTCTTTTTAAAAAGCTGAGGGGGAGGGAAACAGCCTCACCCATTGCAGTTGTGGCAACTGACTTGAAAGCAAACAAAAATGTTGTATCCAGTTTCTTTCAAAAGCGGCCCTGATGCTGGCAATGAATAAAAAGAACTCCCAGCCCACACCTGTCAATAGTCTACGTGAGGGACACATGGACTGTGTAAAATGTGAATTGGCCTGAGATCAGTTCACTGACTGAGTGGGGAACAGATTGGCCTAGAAATTCTCCACCCCCTGGCCCAACAGGTACATACTAGGTGGAGCGAGAAGCTCACAGGTCTACTGAGTGGTATTTTGAAAAGAAGGTATCTGACGAAAGGGAGCTTTGATAGAGTCAAAGCTCATTCCCCCCAAAAAACAATCTTTCGTTTCCCAGCCTCGGCTCTAACTGCCTTGGTCCTCTTTCCCGCCCGCGGGAGTCAGGCCGATTGACCCATAGGTGGTGGGGGGGGGGGCATTTGAATACCCTATATCTCTCTCAGAGTTCTATGATGTAGTTATTCCTAACAGTGACTGTGTCTATGCTACCATAGTTAGGGTTGCCAAGTGAATTTTACTCACCGGCGGGGGAGCCTCGCTGCGCTCCGGGAGCTGTCCCTCATCGGAAGTGACGCGTGACGTCGATCACATTGAGGGCATGGCCCCGATCGTTGGAGGGAAAACCATAGAGTTTTCCCTCCGATGATCAGGGCCACGCCCCCAACGTGATCGACGTGGTTGCGTCACCTCTGGTGATGCAGCCATGCTGTGCTTCGGGGGGCGGAGTTCCCCCCGGGGCCTGATTCCGCAGCGGCAGAATTTGGGCCTCCAAAGCGGGGGTTTACCCACCACCCGCCCTCACTTGGCAGCCCTAACCATAGTGCTAGCAATAACATATAACCTTCGAAGAAGCGTGTGCTCTGTTGTTTGACTGTGGGTCCTGACAAGGTGCTACTGGGCTCAAATCTAGCTCTTCATAGAAAAGACTCTCTTCAAATGCAATAAATACATTCCCCTGGCACAGCTAGGTTAGTTTTGGCATAAGAAGTTGAAGTGGGCTTAGAGGTGCTTCCTTTATATCTCGGTTTCAAGCAGGCTTTGATGCTAGCTGACACACTTGTCTGGGGGGGAGGGCATGCAGGCTTCTAAACAACTTTGCCTTCCTTTGCTTGAAATCCTAGGGCAGGCAACGAAGTTCTCGAGTATAATTGTTACCAAATCCTTGTGGAGAGAGATGGCGTGGTCCACATGCCCACTGTGCAGCAGTTACTGGAAGAATCTCTGCTCTCCTACGACCTGAAGTTTACTGAGGTGGGTCACTGAGACAGGGAATGCTGGGCCACTCCCTTTTGCAGACGATACTCCTTCCTAGTGGAAGCGGTGCCCGTGGGCACAGGGAGCCCCGTTTCTCTCCCGTTTCTCCCCTCTGCTCTCCCTGAGCTTGAGGGACCGTGCAGGGAAGGACAGCTATATTGGGATGTGGGAGATACAAACAGGCCTCAGGTTCTTCGTAATGCTAATGTACAGTGTTGGGCGGGAACGAGAATAAGCCATTGTGCTAGGGAGGATTCCTGTCTTCAGCGACAGTGTCTTGTCATTATTTTTGTTATGCATGATTTCTATAGCACTTTTAATATATAACGTGCTTCATACCATTTATGTTGTTTAGTCTGACAATGCCACTGTAAATTGCCAATATCCCGTCTATACAGATGGGGAACTACACAGATGGGGAAGGTATTCTTTACATTTGCGGCCTGCCCATGCAGGGATCTCATGGCTGAGCTCAAATCTGAATCCAAATCCACGTGCCATGACATACTGCATTTCCAAACCAGTGAAAATTCCATAGAGTCTTTTAGGCTAGAGAGCTGCCTCTCTAAGATATATAGAAATATCAGCAAAAACCCATGCAGCAACCCCTGCCTGTTGTCCAGTCTTTCTTGAGCCAACTTCTGCAACAGCAGTCTTCAAAAAGGCTCTTCTCTTTCAGACTCCTTCGTGCCTCATCTTACAGTTGCCAAGGTTTGGAAAGGGGTTTAAGACATTCTCATCAGTGTATCCTTCTCCAGAACTTGACCTCACAAGCTTGGTGGACCCAGGTAAGCAAGCTTGTAAGCACAGCAAAAATTTTATGCTGGTTGTGTTAGAAATGTCTCTGCCAAACTGAAGACCTACTGACCCAGAAAGATTGCACACGACTCAACAATCTGCTAACTAGGGCCCGTCTGAGGGCTTTTGGTGCCTTAGGCCAGCCACTAACAGTGCCCACCTGCCAGAAGCACACAGCCCCACCATGGCCTGGGCGCACTCCAAGTACCCCAAGCCTCTGTGAAGCCAGGAGGAGGAAGCAGACCAGAACTGGCATTCACCTGCTCTTTACAGGGCAGGGTGGAAGGTTCAGGCAGGACAAGCCACTGTACCCCTAGCTTCTGTGAAGGAGGAAAGGAGAATGGTGGAGCTGCAGGCTGCCGGATCCTCCTTCCTGTCTCCCTCCCTCGTATTGTGGGAGTAGGACAGGGGAAGGCAAACTAGGCAGGCCACCATGCCCCAAGCCTCCACAAAGCCAGAGAGAGGGAGCATGGTAGAATGGGGGGGGGGGGGGGGGGGGGGCAATGGTGCTAAGGCCAAGGGTACTGCTTGAGGCTGCCACTTGCTCTGGCTAGGTTCACATAAGCAGATAAGAGGATCAGACCACCGGTCCATCTAGTCCAGCATCCTGTCTCACACAGTGGCCAACCAGTTCCTCTGGGTGGCCAACAACAGGGCATAGAAGCCAAGGCCTTCCCCTGATGTTGTCTTCTGGCTCTGGGATTCCAAGGATTAGTACTTCTGCATATGGAGGTTGCCCTCAGTCACTATGGCTAGTAGCCATTGATAGACTTACCCTCCACAAGTCTATCTAATCCCCTTTTAGAGCTGTTTATTCCTGTGGCCATCTCTACATCCTCTGGCAGCAAATTCCCCATTTTAAGGACTCTGTGTAAAGTAGTATTTCCTTTTGTCCATCCTGAACCTACTGCCTATCAGCTTCATTGAATGCCCGAGTTCTAGTCTTTCGGGAGAGGGAGAAAAATTTCTCTTTGTCAACTCTCTCCACCCAATGCACAATTTGATAAACCTCTATCATGTCCCCCCTAAATTGTCTCTTTTCTAAACTGAAAAGTCCCAGGCTCTTCAGCCTTTCCTCATAGGGAAGGTGCTCCAACCCCCTAATCATCTTGGTTGCCCTCCTCTGTACTTTTTCCAGCTCTGCAATGTCCTTTTTGAGATATGGTGACCAGAACTGTATGTAGTATTTCAAATGAGGCCTCACCATAGACCTATACAGGGGTGTTACAATGTTGGCCATTTTATTCTCAATCCCTTTCCTAATAATCCCTAACACAGTTTTCAACATACAGCCTTTTTTCACCACTGCAGCACACTGGGTTGACATTTTCATTGAGCTATCCACTATGACCCCAAGATCTTTTCCCCTCACAGTCTTGGCAAGGCAAAAACTCCAGGGCCAAATGGATTCCCGGCGGAATTTTATTATGTCTTTGAAGATCAAGTGATGGCACTGTTAAAAGCTGTATTTCAAAATATAAGAATTGAAGGGGCTCCAGACACATGGAATGAAGCCTTAATAACACTTGTATATAAGCAAAATACCGATCCCAAAGAAATTAAAAATTATAAACCAATTTCTTTGTTAAATGGGGAATATAAAATTTATACCTCTATTTTAGCTGCAAGAATGAAAAGAACTCTCTCCCAAATGATTCACAAAGATCAAGCAGGTTTTTTATTTAAAAGACAACTTAGAAACAATGTGAGAATGATTTTGAAGTATTATGAAGCACATCCTGAAAAACAACTGGCCTTAATATTCCTAGACGCAGAGAAAGCCTTTGACAATAGCTGGAATTTCATGTTAGAGCTACTTTTAACTTCTCAAGCTGGAGCGGAATTTCACAAAATGGTTAAAGCAATTTATACCAAACAAGAAGCTAAGATTTCTATTAACGGAGATTTAACATGAAAAAATGAGATACAAAAAGGAACTAGACAAGGATTTCACTTATCAGCCCTTATTGTTTATTTTTGTTCTTGAAGTTTTAAATGATACGATCAGAACAGACCAACAAATTAGAGGACTCAAGATAAGAGGGGAAGAATATAAATTGCTAGCCTTTGCAGATGATTTAGTATTTATTTTAGGAGAACCCTCGAATTTGGTAAAACAACTGATTGCTTCCCTACAGGAGTATGGAGAAATAGCAGGATTGAAAATTAACTGTTAAAAACAACAATGCTTGTGAAAAAATGACCAAATTACAAGCAAGTCAGTTACAAGAATTAGCAGGCTTAGAAATCCAAAATAAAGTCAAATACCTGGGAATAAACTTAACAAATAGATGTAGCTCATTGATGGAAGATAACTACATGGAACTGTTGAAAGATATTAAGAAAGATCTGTAAAAATGGAACAAACTTCAAATATACTTTATGGGAAGAATAGCTACTTTCAAAAGTAAAATATTACCATGATTGATCTTCCTATTCGAAACAATACCGATTTTTCAAAATCAAAGATACTTTAAAGAATTAGACAAAACTGTCACCCAATTTATTTGGCCAAGACCAAGAATAAGACTCAAAGCATTACAAGATGCTAAAGAGAGAGCCGGGTTTGCTTTACCAGATTGGCTGCTATATTACAAAGCAGAATCTTTGACTTGGATTGAAGATTGGATTACTTTGGAGAATACAAGACTTTTGAAATTAGAAGGTCATGATTTACATCTAGCATGGGATGCTTTTATTTGTTACGGGAAAGCAGAAACCAATAAATATTTCAAACAACACATTCAATGTGTTTCTGACCCCCAGACAGGCCATCATGACCACTTCCACATAGGTTATTTACCCTGGGTTCCATGCTGATAGGAGCAGAGGGGTTTCCTGCTTCCCCACAGCATCATGCACTTTCCAGAGTTTTCCTGCTTTTTCTCCAACATTGCTTTATTGCAAAGTTTTGACAGGGCTTTGTGTTGTCCAGGTAGAATAGCTTGTTACACCTTCTCAGCAGGTATTGCGTCATATCTACAATGCACAATAAGTTGTGTTGGTGTTAATGTTAAACTGTCACTGCAACAGTCACAACCACCCTCTACAATAGGGTTGCTAGGTTCCACCTGGCCACTGGTGGGGGATGGGGGGTACGGTTGCCAGCTCCAAGGGGAACGCCTGGAGATTTGTGGGTGGAGCTTGGGGCAAACAGAGACCTCAGTGGGGTATAATGCCAGAGAGTCCACCCTCCAAAGCATCCATTTTCTCCAGGGGAACTAATCTCTATAGTCTGGACATGACCTGTAATTCCAAGGGAGCCCCAGGTCCCACCTGTTGGAGGTTGGCATCCCTATTCTATAATCCTATTGTTGCAGGATGGAGAAAATTAGTAACAGAAAGGTCAGCTTTTCAGAGGAGACATTCATGGAATCAGTAAAATATTAGTACTACAGTGAAGCACTCGTCCATGAAGACTGTTTACAAACCTGGGTCCTTCTTGTATTATTGTAGCTCCTCAGATGTGTTATGCATGTGGTGGGCAAGTAACATATCGATGCTCATCGTGCCACTTGGATTCCCTCCTGATCCCAGGCCACATGAAACTGTTGAGGGGTGTTGCTAAGAAGGTAGGAGCACTGCACTGTTGCCCAAAGGTGGAAATACCCAGGGGAAAAGGATGGGCTCTGGAAAGGCAGGAGAAAAGGCCACTTCCAGATATGGAGCCAGCCAAATGGTTAATGTCAGCTTGGCCTCTCTAAGGCTCCTGACGCAGCTAGCTGTTCAGTTGCTACTGTTTGTTTTCTGGCAGCTAAAGAGCAGCTGCCCTGACCTGGATGGTCCAGACTAGCCCGATCTCATCAGATGTTGGGAGCTAAGCAGGGTCAGCCTTGGTCAGAATTTGGATGGGAGACCACCAAAGAAGTCCAGGGTCACTATGCAGAGACAGGCAATGGTAGACCACCTCTGAATGTCTCTTGCCTTAAAAGCCCTCTTGACAGCACTTTCCACCACCAAAGAATGGATAAGTTGCTAACATTTTTATACAACAGTTTCATACAGCTCTTACAGGTATAGGAACCCTGCCAGGAAAAGATACTCTACTACAACAGGTATAGCCACTGTGACAGAGTAGATAGAGTTTGAACCCCCATTCTGTCGTGGAATTTTGATGGGTGACCTTCAGTTGGTTACTCTTGCTCAGCCTAACCTGCCTCATAAGGTAGTTGTTATAAAGATAAAATGGCAGAGAAGAGAACGATCTTGTAAGCTACTTTGGGTCCCCAATAGGGAGAAATAAATCTTTTACAGTTCTGAAATCTCACTTCTTCCCAGCCCCGAACCCTGACCCGTTGTCTGCTTGTTTCTTCCAGGCACTTCCTCGTGAGCACAGACAGAAGCATCCCAGCACAGAACAGAAACGCAACAGCTGCTCTACTAAGTCACAAACATTGGAGCTGTTTGCAGTTTTGTGCATAGAGAGCAACCATTATGTGGCTTTTGTCAGATGTGGAGCTCCCAGACAGTCCTGGCTTTTCTTTGACAGCATGGCTGGCCAATTACGTAAGACAGCATATTGGGGCTTAACTTAATGCCCATAAAAATATAAATGTCCTTCATGGAAAAGTGGTGGGGTTTTTTTTTGTTTCTATCATGGTGGGACCAAGGTTCTTTGACAGGCGACTGGTGGGATGTAAGATACGAAAGGCTGAGAACCACTGTTCTACAGGACATACAAGTTACTTTGCAGCAGCTAGTGAACTACTGGTAGTTTACAATCTGACCGCTGGAGACCCCTGCTCTAAAGAGCCCCTAACATTTTTGAGCCTGTGGGCACCTTTGGAATTCTGACACAAAGTAGCAAATGGCTGCCACAGGAGGCAGAGCCAGCCCAAGCTCAGGAGAGAAGGGTAACTTAAAAACTGGGAAAGGAGAGAATAAAACAAGCATTGCAAAGGCGGTTGCTGCTGCTGCAACAAAGCTATTTTCATCTGCACCACCACCTGGATCTCTAGTAGCAAATCAGAAGCCCGCCCTATTGGGCAGGAGCACTTAGTGGGTTCCAGGAAATGTGTCTGAGTGCCACGGCACTCATGGATTCCACATTGGAGACCCCTGATCTAGATTGTTAAAAAAATCTAAAGAAAATACCGCTAGCCCTGATTTCCACAGATCAATGTATGTGGGGTGGATTTTTGCTTTACATTTCTGCATTAATTTAACTGGGTGTTTTCTAGTTTTAATATCGTTTAAATTAACCCTATTACTTTCATCCAAAGCACTGACAACCCTTGCTCAGCCCCTATTGGTAATCTTTTCGTTATTCACCTTTTCTTTTTTTTAACATTGTGTTTTCTTTAGAGAATGAGAAAGGATCACACATCCCTGTGGTAAAGGCCTGTCCTCAGCTTGAACACTACCTGGCAATGGCACCAGAGGAGATTTCTGCTCTAGATATCAAGCAAATGGATCCATTTTCCAGAAGATTCTTCTGTGATTCTTACACATTCATGTACCAACAACCAAAATTCAGCTCTTACAGATGCGAGTTCAGAAACTAAGACCTCTCTTTACAGTTTCCAGCGGTTGAAGAGAGAGAATTTGGAAGCCCGAGGACAATGATTCCACAGCCATTCCATAGAGGGCAGAAACCTTGATTCTGGCATGGGCAGATGAATAGTTCAAAACATCTGCCTGTCCAGTTTCCTGTTTGCATTAGTACACTTATGTTGAAAGAAGACCATTATGGACAGGCATAAGATCATGGAGTATATTCTTAAGAAGACCCAGTAGAATTCAGTTCACTATCAATCAGTACTTGTTAACAGCACTGGATACAGTAAGGGTACCTCTATAGTGAGAGAGAAGAGGGAAATTGTTGAAAATGAACCCCCCACTTTAAATAAACTCCCACCAGCAGAAAATGCCAGCTCTAACTCCATGTACTTAGTGCATAAGAACATAAGAGAAGCCAATGTTGGATCAGGCCAATGGCCCGTCCAGTCCAACACTCTGTCACGCAGTGGCCAAAAATACCAGGTGCCATCAGGAGGTCCAGCAGTTCCCAACATAAAATCATACTGGATTTCCAGTTCATATTGCTAATACGTGGGAGCTTCCTGAGATAGCACCAGGCCTCAAAAGAATAAGAACATAATGAGAGCTTGCTGGATCAGACTACTGGTCCCATCTAACCCAGTAGCCTGTTTCACACAGAATGTTGATGTTCTATGGATTTGTACATGTTACTAGGGCAGTGTAGGAGCTAGTCACAAGGAAGCATGCCTGAAGTGCCACACTGTAAATAAAGGGCAACAGATGCGGCATCATAGTGAATTAGTCCAAGTAATGCATTGCATACATGGTCACACCATCATAAAAGACTGTATTTCAGAAAATGAGGTTCATACTGGTAAAGCTGTAATATCCAGGAAAGCAACATAAAGCAAGGCACACAGGCATTTTCAGCTAAGCTCCTGTCTTGTGCTAAAAGTTCAGCATGCCTCAGCTACTAATACATTACAATGAGAAAAACAGCCATTTTGAGAGGTTTTTTTCATGGTGGGATTCATGCCAATGAATGTTGCTGGGCAAATGATGAGTGGATGTTCTCATGGGACTAGATTTTTTTTTTTGTCCTTCCAGCACCAAATGAAGACCTATTTGTTCTCCTAGACTATTAGGTGACATTTGTTTGGTTTTTCCTCCTGTTCTGTACTGTGATTTTGAAACCATACTGCATTTTTATTTGCTGTTTGTATGATATTTTTGGCACTTTACATTTTAAGACTATTTTATATATGGATAGTCATTTTGAGAACCAGCTTTCTGGTTGTGGGATGTGATACAAATGTTTAAAATAAAATCCATCCTTAGGTTGTCATTTGCTCATTAGTTCACCAACCACATTCTCCATCCATGCAGCCCTAGCTGCATGGGGTCAGGTTATAAAACACCGCTGAGGGAGAGATATCCTTCACACACTCCAGACCCCTATTTCATTCATTCCAGAGCCAACTCTTTAGCATTCAAAATAAATCACTGGTTTGAGTCTAGGCTCAATCCGGTGCTTGCCACAGAAAGCAATACTTCCAAAGATTTTCTGCCAGCATATTTATTTAAACTATCTTAGCCTTCCTTCCTTCCTCTACAGGAGCCAGTTACAAGGCACAGTAGGATTACATTTCCTGGTCGTGGACAAGTGATGCCATAATTCTAAAGCAAGCAGATCTGTGGCTGGACTTAGTTAAAACCGAGAGCTTCCAACCTTTCGGACATCAATAGAACCATTTAATGACAAGGTCAGCCCTGAAGCTTTAATATTCAGATATAAAAGAACGCTAATACAAATGAAAAGCCATACCAACTTCATAACCACATGACATTTATTAGAGCATGTTCATGTATAAAATGATCTAATGTACTGGTGGGTGATTGCAGCTTTAAGTAAACAAAATCAGATGCTGATTGAGAAATGTAATTTGAATACTAGCAGAAATCAAGTCTTAGTGGAGAATGACAGACTAATCCACACAACAGGAGACTGAATGTAAAACTGTTCAGTAAGCTGGCAACGAAGACCTGCAAGAAAAAGCTCCTGTGATGGCTCTCAGAACCAACAGCACTTTTGCCCTTCCCTAGGACAGGATTCGCCTCCAGTGCTAGAACTGAACAATGCAAGGGGGACAAGGTGGCATTTACGGTATCTAGAAAGTTGCCTTGAAAAGTGAAGTATGCAACAACAAAAAAAGAGGGCTTAACAGAGGAGCAAGAAGAATATCAGAATCCATCCACAGTATATTCAAACTCAGGTCAGGTTCTCACTATAAGGCAGTCTTAGTGCAAACCTCCTTCCTTCCTCTGCCCATTGATCTTAAGATTCAAACAGTCAGGTCTACTTCTGGAAGATACCCATGTAGATAGTCTTGTATATATTTTAAAAATATTCCTGGACAAGATCCATGAATATGAATCATAAGTAGCCTAAACTAGTGTATAGTCCATAATGCATTATTACTACCTACCTATAATCACAAAAAATCAAAACTGTAGCCCAATCTATTCCCACCGTGGAATAGTTCCATGTACAAGACATTAGCTGCCCTCATTATATTAATTTTTTTCAATTATTTATTAAAAATGAAAAATGAGCTGTGTTTGTACTACAAACACCTATAGAAACCCCTAAGTAACTGAGTTCTGAATTATGTCTTGAGTTATTTTGTGCATTTAGACCACTGAACTCTGAGGTAGGCTCTGAGAAGTTAATTAGTTAGCTAATCAAAACATTAAGGTGCTCTTAAAATTGTGTCATTTTAAAAGTTAAACAAACAAACCAGGTATACCCAACAATCATCAACAGGAGTTATAATCTGAAAGTTTTAAGAAATAATCTGAAGATTCTGGTCATAACTGAACTAAGGAACCAAAGTTTAAAACACCCCAATGACCTGGTTAAAAACATTAATACTTAATACAATCAGTTTACTGAAGTCAAACCTTTAATTTTCTTAAAACAAGCCAAAGACAACCATCACATTCTGTGCTCTATAATAAATTCCACAGAGTTTTCCTCCTGCCAAGAGCCTCATGATGGCTACTATCTTAAAACTGTATATTGTCAAATGGAAGACAAGTCACAAATTGAACAGATCTCATTTGGAGAGGGCAACAAAGTGGGCACAAATTAATTACTAGGTTCACCCTTTAGCAAAGAGAGGTTAGTTGTCACTGTAGTGGAGAAGGTCACAGAAAGGATTCAAGGGTTGAACAGTCTTGAACTGCTTAATATTGTGATGGCTTTTTTAAGTTCCAGGAAAGAAACACTTTTTTAAAAAAATAAATCAACACAGACTCAATTTCTCTTCTCAGAAGCCGTGAAGCTTGTCCCATCTCCTCAGACCTTGGGTATAAAAGCAGGCTCAGTTTACCTCCCCACAGTCCATCAGAGGATGTTTCTTAAAGTGTTCTTCAATCACTTATGACAACTGATTTGGCTTATTTTATCAATCATAATGGATGGCAGTGTAGAAGATTATCCAGACAACCTAGAAGGGAGCACAGAAAAAGAAAGACAGCATCAGCAAGAGTCCTTACTCTGTACCACCACATGCCCACAAAAGTCCTATTTTGCTTTCTTCTTTTTGGAATAACAAAGTTTCACCACAGTCCTGTGGTCAAGAAGAAACTTTACAAGAGGAGTCAGCATTCCAACTGTTAGAAATTACATTGATTCCAGTAGTGAGAAAGAACTGCTTCCTCTCCTCAGGTATCTGTTTCTCTGACATACACTGAGACAAAGATATATTTATTTATTTGTTTGTTTGTTTGTTATTCAAATTTATACCCCGCCCTCCCCTGTAGGGCTCAGGGCGGCTTACAAGGCAAGATAATACTTGCAACATAAAACAACAGTACAAAAATACCAATATATATACATATATATATATATGCCTGTGTGCGTTAAGAATAGTGCCCATGTTTAAATCCAGAACATACCCAGAACTTCAGCATTCTAAATAACTGATAGAGCAATCTTACCCTGTTACTTTGGTCTAAGCCCACTAGATTCACTCTTCACAGGACTGCACTGTAAAACTCCAGAAAACCTGTTTGCCCTCTTTTGTCACTAGTATGTATGTATGTATTTATTTATTTATTTAATTTGACTTGTATCCCGCCCTCCCTGCCAGGGCAGGCTCAGGGCAGCTTACATTAAAAAGTTAAAATTCATTAAAACATGGATGTATAAACACAATACAACATCATAAAAACTCATGAACAGGTCACAAATACAGATAAAATGCTGGTAAAGTGCTGGTAAAGTGGTGACATCCCACTAGGCCATGATAGATGATAACAAAGTATGGCCACAGTCAGTGTCCAATATATCACAGGCTGTTGATGTTAATATAAAGGGCCTTAGCTGTTATTGGTAGCAGCTCCTAATCAAAGGCCTGGTGGAAGAGCCCCGTTTCACAGGCCGTGCAGATTTTAAGCTACTTTGTACAGTGAGCAGAGTCAAATGGCAAAGTTTTTCTTGGCCAACTGTTCAAAGTGGTACAGGACAAGGATATCACTTTTTAATGTTTCCTATCAACTCCATGTACACAGAAAGATGTGTTAGGGAGATGACCAGGATGTGCTTTACATGTGCAAACAGCTTTTTTTGACAGGGAAGCACATACATACACATGAGTACAAAAACATTTTCAGCCTCAAGTGATACTCGTAAGGAAAAGCTTTGCCTACTTGATTCATAAGAACATAAGAGACACCAATGTTGGATCAGGCCAAAGGCCCATCTAGTCCAACACTCTGTCACACAGTGTCCAAAAATACCAGGTGCCATCAGGAGGTCCACCAGTGGGGCCAGGACATTAGAAGCCCTACCACTGTTGGCCCCCCCAAGCACCAAGAAGACAGAGCATCACTTGCCCCAGAGCCCCTATCTTCTAATGTACCTACCAAACTCTATGACAAACAATACATACAACCAGGGGTCATTTCGTAGAAAAAGAGCTAGGGGAACTCATTAGCATAACTCATTAGCATATGCCACACCCCCTGACATCTGGGGCCCGGCGGTGGACCTGCAAGGCAGGCGGAAGTGCAGGCAGAAGGCAGGCAGGCAGGGGTGGGGAGAGGCGGGGAGGGAGCAACTTACCCTCCCTCCTCCTGGCTGAATGAGGGCTGGAAGCGGGGCGGCCAGAAGCAGGGGGTGGGGCTTCATTGTGTGCCCCGCCCCCCTGCACCTCACCCGGGGGAACTGTGTTCCCCCGCGTTCCCCCCCGAAATGACCTCTGCATACAACTCCCCAAAGCTGCATTCATATTGTGCAACTTATCTTTTTGTAACCTCATCTCTTCTCTGCTTCTTTTCCCACTAGTTAAACATGGAGTGATAATCTGCCTCTTATTTATATGCTGGCTTTGTGCATAAGGCCTCACATCTATGAACATGTAATATAGATTTACCAAAAACAATGCAAAAGATGTCATGAATCCTTCCTTTG